AGCCTGACGATGCTTTTCTTACAGACTTTAGTGCTCACGCCGTCCTGCTTCTCCTCGTCCATCAGCTTCTTCTGTAGCCTAACATACATACAAAAGAGGAATTCAGGGACCTTTTAACTTCACAGTTCGTATCTCACATTTCTCTTTCACTTTCTTAAGAAGTTTAATGCACCAAATTAGTCATAATTCGTTTCTACATGAACATTTTTCAACCTGAATGGTGGAGCTAAACTGCTGTAGACTGAATGGTGGAGCTAAACCGCTGTAGACTGAATGGTGGAGCTAAACTGCTGTAGACTGAATGGTGGAGCTAAACTGCTGTAGACTGAATGGTGGAGCTAAACTGCTGTAGCTGAATGGTGGGGCTAAACTGCTGTAGACTGAATGGTGTGGCTAAACTGCTGTAGACTGAATGGTGGAGCTAAACTGCTGTAGACTGAATGGTGGGGCTAAACTGCTGTAGACTGAATGGTGGGGCTAAACTGCTGTAGACTGAATGGTGGGGCTAAACTGCTGTAGACTGAATGGTGGAGCTAAACTGCTGTAGACTGAATGGTGGGGCTAAACTGCTGTAGACTGAATGGTGGGGCTAAACTGCTGTAGACTGAATGGTGGAGCTAAACTGCTGTAGACTGAATGGTGGGGCTAAACTGCTGTAGCTGAATGGTGGAGCTAAACTGCTGTAGACTGAATGGTGGGGCTAAACTGCTGTAGACTGAATGGTGGAGCTAAACTGCCGTAGGCTGAATGGGTGGAGCTAAACTGCTGTAGCTGAATGGTGGGGCTAAACTGCGGTAGCTGAATGGGCGGGGCTAAACTGCTGTAGGCTAAACGGGCGGGGCTAAACTGCTGTAGGCCAAACGGGCGGGGCTAAACTGCTGTAAGCTAAACGGGCGGGGCTAAACCTCTGTAGGCTAAATGGGCGGGGCTAAACTGCTGTAGGCTGGCTGTTTTTGTAAAATTAAATAAGATTAAATAAATCAGTCAAATGAAGGGGGGATGTCTCACGTGTAAAGACCCTCGATGACCTTCAGGCTGCGGACGGCCTCTATAATGAGGTTTTTGCGTTTGAGCATCCGGTACGTCTCGTGCTGCTCATGTCCTCTTTTCTTCGCTGACATCTGGTGAAAACAGAGAGGAAAAAACTCTTTATGTTTCTATTTATCCATTTATAATTACACACAGAGAATTATTAAGTAGAAAAATGTAAAATAATATTAAAACACACATTTATAAAAGCATATACGTTCTCCTCTGTCTGTCCATAATCAGGCACAGTTCAGTTTTAGATTAACATTAAACATTACGCTACTTATGAATGTATATATTTATTTTTATATTAAACATGAATTCATTTTACGTTAAATATTATATATATCACAGTATCTTCAAACGTATAAAATAATATTAAATCTTAAGAAAATCTGCAAAAATGTCAATATTAAAATAATAAAATCTGAAAGGGAAATTTCATGTGATAAAATAATTTGGTGGAATTATTTTCCACATTAGCAACATCAAAGCAGAAGGCAGAATATTTTAAATAGAACCTCAATATTATTATAGAAAGTATTTAGCATCACAAAATTAAAAGGAGAAAAATTACATTTAAAATTTTAATATTAATTTAAATTAATCTACTTCAAATATTCAACTATTTATGCTTGAATTAAATTTGAATCCAAAATAGTAACCTTATATTATAACCTTATATTATATAACGTATTGTAAAATGTTATAATAGAATGTATATAAAAGGTTATAACCAAAATAAATTATAATACAACACAATGATGAATTAATCGCTCAGTACAAGGTAGAACGTTAGAACGTTAGAACTTCACTGATTCCACAGACCTCCAGCTCATCCACGACCTCCTCCACGACGGTCACTGTGTCATCGGCGGTTTCTGATTGGCTGAGGGGGATGCTGGGGGTGTGGTCTTGGGGAACCACAAGCGTATCGTCTCCCTTCCCAGTTTCGCTAGGCTCCGCCTCCTGGAGGGATTGGTCAGTCTCTTTAATGCGGGGAGGCGGCTTTTCTGAATAAAGTGAAAAGGCGGGAGGTCAGCTGAATATTTACAAGACAATCACGAAAACAGCGCCACCTGCAGTGCGAGAGAAATATGCTTGTTCTTGTGTTCGTTCAGTGGAAAACGGATTATTTATTAAATAATATCTTACTATTGCAGCTAATAACCTCAGTCTACAAGGCAACAAATCCCTCTTTTAGCCATTTCAGAGAGAAAGCATGGATACGGCCCATTCCACTGAAAGAGTTCAAACTTCGCTCTTGCAGTAAAAAACTATTTAAAAAATAATGAATTATTCAGATCTTAGGTATTTACAGTGATTCTGTTCTGATCTATTTAAACCCAAGACATTAATAGAGATAATAATAAGCTAAATTCTGTCCCAAACCCTAATCCCCAAATTTACACTTCTGAAAATAATATTTACAATTTTTTTGGTATTTTTTTTTATGTTGTTTATTTAAAAAAATATTTTATTTCTTTTAAAGTGAAGTTGAAAGATTGAGATTTGTCATCACTTTCATTTTTATATAAAAATACACTGCCTCACGTTTTCATGTCACTACCGAGTTTTAGTCTGTACGCGGAGCCTTGTTTTAGCCACGCCCCTGCATTTCAGAGCAGGAAGTGAGGCTGCATCCCTGTCCCTCATGGCCACATGGTGAGCAGTTGGATCCCATTGTTTTGAAGTAAATGAGTCCCAAAGTCTGAAAATCAGTGTGGAACATTAAGACTCATCATATTTTCTGCAGTTCAGCACTTTTTAGTGTTTTAATGATAAATATGATGATTTTCTGTGTGAAGAGCTGTTCAAAGCTGTGTTTGCTGGTCATGAACTGCTGAGTTTCTGAGCTCAGAATGAGCTAAAACTGACACTGAAACAGTCACTACTGAAACAGACACTACTGACACAGTCACTACTGAAACAGACAATACTGAAACAGACAATACTGAAACAGTCACTACCGAAACAGACACTACTGAAACAGACAATACTGAAACAGACAATACTGAAACAGTCACTACCAAAACAGACACTACTGAAACAGACAATACTGAAACAGACAATACTGAAACAGTCACTACCAAAACAGACACTACTGAAACAGTCACTACCAAAACAGACACTACTGAAACAGTCACTACCGAAACAGACACTACTGAAACAGTCACTACTGAAACAGTCACTACCGAAACAGACACTACTGAAACAGTCACTACCGAAACAGACAATACTGAAACAGTCACTACTGAAACAGTCACTACTGAAACAGACACTACTGAAACAGACAATACTGAAACAGTCACTACCGAAACAGACACTACTGAAACAGACAATACTGAAACAGTCACTACCAAAACAGACACTACCGAAACAGTCACTACCGAAACAGGCACTACTGAAACAGTCACTACCGAAACAGACAATACTGAAACAGTCACTACTGAAACAGACACTACCGAAACAGCCACTACTGAAACATTCACTACCGAAACAGACAATACTGAAACAGTCACTACCGAAACAGACAATACTGAAACAGTCACTACTGAAACAGACACTACTGAAACAGACAATACTGAAACAGTCACTACCGAAACAGACACTACTGAAACAGACACTACCAAAACAGACACTACTGAAACACTTGGTACAGTTTGGGTCGCGTTATGATTGTTCTGGTGGTGACAAAAGGTGCAATCATTATTTTTAATAAAATAAACTCGATTAAGGTGTAGAATCACCAGCCTGTTCCAACTGAGATGTTTACATGGACGTATCCTATTCTGATTGAGCTATTAGTCAGATTAATAACTGATTATCAGGCTGCATGTAAACATGGCTACTGTTACAAAAATGGTAGCTTAAAACTTACTTAACTTATAATGGAAGTCAACGTATTTTTTTTTCATTTTGGAACATTTCTATTGGCCCATTCATCATAAAATTTTAATGCAATATAAAATGTAACTAGAATTTTCAAATTATGCAAAACATTTATAACTGATAGTGATAATGTACTTTTTTAAAAAGTAAACAATCATTACCTTTATAACGTATCAATAAAGACGAATCATATTATCTATTACACCTACATACAATACATTTATGTAAAACATTAATAGTGCTTTTTATTATTTGTATGTCACCAAATAAATGGTTAACAATTCAAATAGCACTTATTAATGAAATCACTCCACTGAAAAACAATTAAATAATTATTAACTATCATTGACAAACTATTAGACAATAATATTTAATTTTATATTATTAAGATAATAATTTGCTACTGTGGGTGCCTGTTATAAAAAAGGATAACTGATTTATCATTTTAGATCTACTATCACAAAGCAAAATAAATGAATTCATTCTAAATAATAACAATCTTAACAAGGTCTAATCAAACGATTCTGTAATCTCATCTCCGTTACTCACTCCTGAGCGGCGTAGAATGTCTGGGAGTTGATGCTCTCTGGGATCCTTTCTTGGTTGATTTGCTTTTCTTCCCAGCTTTTCTCTTTGACCTCTGTCCTTTGTGTGCCTCCTCTCCCTCCTCCTCTTCCTCCTCCTGGGGGTCCTGCTCGGTCTCCGGATCATTACGGAGTGTATCATCCTGGTCCTCAGGGTCCGGACAGGGTCTGTTTCTGTCGTCCGTACTGTCGTTCTTGGGCACTCGAAGCTTCTCGCTGCGTTCGCGCTCTTTGGCGAACCGCAGGTTCAGGTTGCTCTTCTCCACAAACAGCTTGCTGATGTACTTCGTCGTCCTCTGCCTTCCTTCGTCCTCCATGAATCCCTGATGGAGAGACAGGGAGCGTTACTGAATTTCACAAAAATCATGAAATATATCAGCGCAGTCGCACACAAACCTTGCATCTCCATTTTTGTCATTTTTGACCTTTTTTGCCTAATTTTACAACTTACTGCCTACAAAATTACTTTATGTAGTAACAAGCAATGGAACTTAGCTCAAAAAAATAATCTGACTGAAAGATTCACTCAGTTAAAGTACTGAACGAAACCAGTTAATTTACTTATCACATTAAGTCATTTGCTTAGTTTGAACTGACAAACCATTTTTTACAGACAAATAATTTTCCCTTCAGTAATTCAGGTTTTCCACAAGGCGGCGCTGTTAGCACTCAATTTCAAAACAGGAGGCAAAATAGTTTATTATCTAAAAGCAAGGCTCCATGTTATTTAATGAGTTTTATCAGTTCTTTCTGAAAGGATACAGGCTGCAGACAGTAGGCACAGCAGGGGGCGCTACCAAACTGAGAAACGTCTTTGGGAGGACTTGTTTTTTTCCAACACCTTCAGCCTTTGCTTGCTTATTTATATGATATTTATATTACAGCTCCAAGCTAAACCACTTCGGAACATTCTGAACGTTTGTTTTTTAGCGTGCAAGTTACCAGATAAACTACCATAAACTCCAGAATCTAACCTGCGTCACATCTTAGAAACCTACGCTAAGAAGGCTTGGGAAGTGTTCTAAATTAATGCAGTTAGAAAAGCTAGAACAGCGCTACAGTCTACTCGAGCACTTGGACCTCCAGCACATGCAACTATACTGCTGCACCATACAGCCCTACAGTCTGTGTTACCTTAATCATGTTGTTCCTCTCCAACACCTTGCAGACCATACGGCTCTCTAGTTTTCCGATATTCAGCCGTCCTCGCAGTACAGACTGGGAAATACCCTTAGGACCAGTCGCCACCACTGCATCGATCAATCACAGAACAGAGAGAAAACAGGAATCAATAACCAACCAATCGCAGCACAGAGAGAAATCAGGGAACAATCATCAACCAATCACAGAACAGAGAGAAATCAAGAATCAATAACCAACCAATCACAGCACAGAGAGAAATCAAGAATCAATAACCAACCAATCGCAGCACAGAGAGAAATCAGGGAACAATCACCAACCAATCACAGAACAGAGAGAAATCAGGGAACAATCACCAACCAATCACAGCACAGAGAGAAATCAGGGAACAATCACCAACCAATCACAGCACAGAGAGAAATCAGGGAACAATCACCAACCAATCACAGCACAGAGAGAAATCAGGGAACAATCATCAACCAATCACAGCACAGAGAGAAATCAGGGAACAATCATCAACCAATCACAGCACAGAGAGAAATCAGAATCCTCAGACCAATCACAGCACAGAGGGCAATCAGGGAACAATCACAGACCAATCACAGCACAGAGAGAAATCAGGGAAAAATCACCAACCAATCACAGAACAGAAAGCAAACAGGAAACGATCACCGACCAATCACAGCAGAGAGAGAAATCAGGGAACAATCACAGACCAATCACAGAACAGAGAGAAATCAGGGAACAATCACCAACCAATCACAACACAAAGAGAAATCAGGGAACAATCACCAACCACACAGCACAGAGAAATCAGGGAACAATCACCAACCAATCACAGCACAGAGAGAAATCAGGGAACAATCACCAACCAATCACAGCACAGAGAGAAATCAGGGAACAATCACAGACCAATCATGCGCGCGCACTGACCGATCTCATAAGCCTGAGTCAGCAGATCCCGCTCGATGTCGCGAGCCTGAGCCTGGACGTTCCTCTTAACGGGGCCGTCGCCTTCTTCATCATTGTTCTCATCGTCGTCGTCATCGTAGGTTTCTTTTCGAGTGTACGGCCTGAGGAGCTTCAGGCAGCGAACCCGGATATCTGTACCTGAGAGCCACAAACAACCAATCACAGTCTCACAAAACACAAGTCTCTGAGGTGTGAGTCAGAGTCAAGTCTCTGAGGTGTGAGTCCGAGTCAAGTCTCTGAGGTGTGAGTCCGAGTCGAGTCTCTGAGGTGTGAGTCCGAGTCGAGTCTCTGAGGTGTGAGTCCGAGTCGAGTCTCTGAGGTGTGAGTCTGAGTTTAGAGTCCCTGAGATGCAAGTTCAACTTGAGTCTTGAGTCTCTGAGGTGTGAGTACGAGTCGAGTCTCTGAGGTGTGAGTCCGATTCAAGTCTTGAGTCTCTGAGTCGAGTCTCTGAGGTGTGAGTCCAAGTTGAGTCTCAAGTCTCTGAGGTGCGAGTCCCACTCGAGTCTCTGAGGTGTGAACCAGAGTTGCATCTTCAAATCAAGTCTCCGAGGTGTGAGTTGGAATCGAGTCCCGAGTCTCTCCAAGTCCTAGTTGAGTCTCAACTCTCTCAGGTGTGAGTCTGAGTCTTGAGTCCTTCAGGTGTGAGTCTGAGTCTCAAGTCCCTCAGGTGTGAGTCTCGAGTCCCTCAGGTGTGAGTCTCGAGTCCCTCAGGTGTGAGTCTCGAGTCCCTCAGGTGTGAGTCTGAGTCTCGAGTCCCTCAGGTGTGAGTCTCGAGTCCCTTAGGTGTGAGTTTGAGTCTCGAGTCCCTCAGGTGTGAGTCTCGAGTCCCTCAGGTGTGAGTCTGAGTCTCGAGTCCCTCAGGTGTGAGTCTGAGTCTCGAGTCCCTCAGGTGTGAGTCTCGAGTCCCTCAGGTGTGAGTCTGAGTCTCGAAGTCCCTCAGGTGTGAGTCTCGAGTCCCTCAGGTGTGAGTCTGAGTCTCGAGTCCCTCAGATGTGAGTCTGAGTCTCGAGTCCCTCAGGTGTGAGTCTGAGTCTCGAGTCCCTCAGGTGTGAGTCTCGAGTCTCTCAGGTGTGAGTCTGAGTCTCGAGTCCTTCAGGTGTGAGTCCGAGTCGAGTCACAATCAGAAGTCGAGTCTCAAGTGTCCGTTAGGTTGAAATGTCGGCTAAGCGTTAGTGAAACGTTACTGTTATCCGCGGCTCCAATACTGTAGGGTGTGCACTGACCTCTCTTGGTCTTGCAGGGTCCAGCTTCAGGGTTCAGCTCCTGCAGGGGGATGGTCAACACACTGACCATCTTCGCAGCCTGCATGTACTGATAAACACGCTTGAACGTGTGCTCGCCCACCTGCTGCGGAAAGAAAGACACACCCACTCAAACAAGGCGCAGCATTAGCATCCTGCGTTTACATGAGTGCCTGAAGTGATTAAAGTGTGTTTCCCACGTCCCAAACGCAGCGGATCAGCTAAGACCTGTGTGGTGTCTGGAGTTCTGCACAGCTAATGTAGCTAACAAGTAAACAACAGTGTGGTGATTCAGGCATGCAGTTAGCATCATGCTAACTGGTGGGATAAGCTTCCATTACTTGTTAGCTACATTAGCCTCGTAGCTCCAGGTGCGGCGCAGGTACGTTTTTCGTTCATTAAAGAACAAACAGTGTAAATGTTCCCTCAAAGGTACTACAGTGGTTCTAAGGTTCAACGGTGTCCTTTAAATCAGTGTTTCCAGGTGAAAAGTTCGTATTTGTACCTTTTCATAACCGAATGCTTTAAACAGAACAGTAAAATAAAGTCCTGGAGACGAGACGGGGTGTGTGGAGTCAGTACAACAACACGCGTTCACTAATATGCCGTGGTTCTCACCAGCTGTTCACGCAGTCTGAGCATGATGCCGATGTTGTTGGGCAGCTCTGAGAGGAGGTTGGAGGTCGACTCCATCAGGATATCATACTTACTCCTCCTGAGGAAGAGTGAGAAGGAGATTTCAGCAGAGGAGAACGTCAGAGTCATAAACTATACACTCATTACTCATTATTTACCTTCTTAACCTCAACAGATGCTATTTATTCAATATTTTATAAATATTACAGTTATTACAATGAGTTATTCAGCATCTACTATGAATTATTCAGCATCTACTATGAATTATTCAGTATCTACTATGAATTATTCAAATTATTCAATATCTACTATGAATTATTCAGCATCTACTATGAATTATTCAGTATCTACTATGAATTATTCAAATTATTCAATATCTACTACGAATTATTCAGCATCCACTATGAATTGTTCAGTATCTACTATGAATTATTCAGCATCTACTATGAATTATTCAGTATCTACTATGAATTATTCAAATTATTCAATATCTACTATGAATTATTCAGCATCTACTATGAATTATTCAGTATCTACTATGAATTATTCAAATTATTCAATATCTACTATGAATTATTCAGCATCCACTATGAATTGTTCAGTATCTACTATGAATTATTCAGCATCTACTATGAATTATTCAGTATCTACTATGAATTATACAGTATCTACTATGATCTATGGAGTTATTATTACTGAGTATATGAATATCTCTGCGTACCTGTCGACGTGGAAGCGTTTGAGCAGCAGTAGTATAGAGTGCTGTCTCACTCCAGTCGGTAGCCGCACTACGTGTGACTGCATGGTGATCAGACCGTTTCTGTCCAGAGATTTTCTCAAATAATGCACCTTCCCTGCGTCCAACCTGACCAATCAGAACACAGCAATCAAACATCAGCCAATCACAGCACTCAATATAGAATGCAGTGTTCTACAGTTTCTCATTAGGCTGAATGAATAACCGACTCTAAATGTAGGTATTGTGATATAAACTGAGTCTGTTCTATAGTTTCTCATTAGGCTGAATGAATAACTGACTCTAAATGTAGGTATTGTGATATAAACTGAGTCTGTTCTACAGTTTCTCATTAGGCTGAATGAATAACTGACTCTAAATGTAGGTATTGTGATATAAACTGAGTCTGTTCTATAGTTTCTCATTAGGCTGAATGAATAACCGACTCTAAATGTAGGTATTGTGATATAAACTGAGTCTGAGTCGTACTTGAATGATGAAATGTGGAGGTCTCTCTGAATCTCCCCCTGCCAGCGCGCTCGGCCCAGTCTCTCCAGGATGCAGTACGAGAAATCGCTCAGCTTCAGCTCCGGGTTTCCCTCGTCTCCAATCAGAGCGCGGTACCGGAACTCCTGAGACGCCACTATCACCAGCTTCTCCCCATACCTAAACAAACACATCAAAAACAAACAACAGAGTAAACAACCCTGAAAACAGACAACAGATCACACAGGGCAAAGATTTTAAAATTCTTTTATATTTTAACGATCAAATGATGAATTTTATTTACTATTTTATCTCCTATGGATTATTCAGTATCTACTATGAAATATTCAGCATTTACTATAAATTATTCAGTATGTACTATAAATTATACAGTGCCTACTATGAATAATTAAAATTATTCAGCATCTCCTATGAATTATTCAGTCTCTACTATGATCTACACCATATTAGTGTTACTGAGTAGATATGAATATTTAGTAGATACGAGTCTTATTTACTGTAGCCCCGCCCCCTCCTCCCCCACTCACTTCTTCTGCGCCTGTTCCAGCGTGAGGACAGGTGTGTGCTGGCTGGTTCTGACCAGGTGAGTGATGTCCTTCCTCTCTCTGTAATAAGGACAGGAGCCCTGGACGCCCTGCGGATCGTCCACCAGCACGCTGACCGGATACGGGTCCTCAAGCTGAGCCTTAGTGTCCAGAGGACGAACATCCTGAATCCCCGTCTCAGGATCTATATCAGAAAATCTGGGGACAGGGAGACAGGAGGACAGAGGGATGGGGACAGGAGGACAGGAGGACAGAGGGATGGGGACAGGAGGACAGAGGGAGAACCATGAGTTCTATATAGAACCATCTGCAAGCTTAAATGGTTCTTTGCATGGTGAAATGGTTCTTCAGACTGAAGAAGAATGTGCTGTAGATGGAGAATGTGCATAGCACCAAAAAGGGTTCTGCTGTTGTGATGATGTCAAGCTTTATACAATAGCAGAACCAGAACTTTTTGGTGCTATATAGAACCGTATACAACACATTCTCCATCACTCTGAAGAACCATTTCACCATGCAGAGAACCATCTAAGCATGAAAAGGGTTCTTTGAGTGTTCATGGTTCTGATTGGAACTTCTGTCTTTACTAAAGAATGCTTAAAGAACCATAAGAGTGTATAAAGAACACACCTGTACACACTTAAAGAAGAGGGTTCTTCAAGGGTTCTTTAGTAAAGAAAATGGTTCTATGTAGAACCATGAACACTCCAAGAATCCTTTGCATAATGAAAATGGTTCTTCAGATTGATAGAGAATGTATTTTATAAGGTTCTATATAGAACCTTTTTGAAAAGGGTTCTTTATAGCACCAAAAAGGGTTCTTCTACTGTTACAAGCTTGACATTGTCACAACAGCAGAACCCTTTGTGGTGCCAAGAACCATCGTTTCTAACACCGTACAGGTGTAGGTACATACCTGTCGTACAGGTGTAGCGGAGCTCGGGCTCGCGGCAGCAGGTGGAAGGTGACGTCCGGGCTGCACGCGAGCACGTTCCACAGGTACTGCTGGACTCGCAGGTCCAGCTGCAGGGGGAACGCGGGCCGGCGCGTGCTGAGCCGGAGCCACAGCGTCTCCAGGGTGACGCCGTCCAGACCCTCCAGACTGACCTCATCCAGCAGAGCCGCGAGCGGGTCCATCATCGATCACCTGATCAATCAGCGCATTAATTAATTAATTAATTAGAAACATAAACAACAGAGGCTGAACTACACACAGCGGACCCGCTGCTTCTTCTGCTGAGGAGCTACAGCGCAGCGCTCGCCTACTGACCCCTACCGGCGACCACTGGCATCGACATGAAAAACGTTTATAAAATAAAATTAAATAAAATAAAATTAAATAAAATAATCACAACGGAGATGAGAGAAATAAAAAAGAATAAATAAATGAATAAAATAAAACGATGAATATAAATACATTAATTGCATTCACAACGCAAGAAGCATGTCTGATAGATAAATAAATAAATAAAAATAAATATTCATCAACAACACGAGGAGAGAATCAGAGAAATACAACAATTTTATTAAATAAATAATAAATGGCATCAGACAATTAAAACTAAATAAAATCACTTCAGAGAAACAAAAATAAAGACGTGATTCAATAAACGATACAGTAACAACCAAATACAGTGAGTTTCATGAGCAGCGCGTAATCAGACTGTGTGCTGATTAAACTGAGACTTTAACACTCAATAAATCTGATAATCAATCATCTGAAAACGATCCGGTTATTATTTACATCTTAAAACGAACGGACTCTTAACCGCACAGTGATAAAAGTCCCCTAGCAGTGTGAGGAGTAATAAAAGTCCCCGGCAGTGTGAGGAGTGATAAAAGTCCCCTAGCAGTTTGAGGAGTCATAAAAGTCCCCGGCAGTGTGAGGAGTGATAAAAGTCCCCGGCAGTGTGAGGAGTGATAAAAGTCCCCGGCAGTTTGAGGAGTAATAAAAGTCCCCAGCAGTGTAAGGAGTAATAACAGTCACGAAATGTCACGTCATTAACTCTTAAAAAACTGACATTAGTTATTACTAACTGTAATAAGATGGCCAGTTTAGTCTGAAATAAATGGCACAAAAAACATTAAAATAAATACTGAAGTGGATTTTTTGTCAAAGCAGTGTTTAATTTCATTTACAGAGGGCAAAAAGTTTGATTTCTTCACATGAAACTGTTTAAAATTACCATGAAATGACTCATATATATTCTAGACACATTTAAAGGTTTTTTCAAGATATTATACACTTTCCTTAGTTCAGCGGTCAGCTCTTTTACTGCCCTGTTGTGGCTCCACAGCTGAATCAGATTTGTAGGTAAAAATAAAATAATCCTCCTTTACAGTAAAATAAAGCTCTGCTGATCGTTCAACACAGTTTAACAATAAATGGTCTTAAATTAGAACTGCTAATTCACCCTTTAACCCTGAAGATCAGCACTGACTGCTGGTCACCATAGCAACACAGACAATAGTCTCGCCTAACTAGTAGCTAACAAAACGGTAAAGAGAAAGATTTAAGATGAACGTCGATAATTTGGAGATGAATGGACTGATTTGTGTTTATAATCACTCCACCTGGTTTCCTGATACGTTTAATCTGCAACGAGAAACTGACAAACACTAAAAAGTCACGAGGCTGAAGTCAGTTTCTTATTCAACAGCTACTTGTTCAAATTCTCCTGTTCCACCTTAAATGGTGTAGCAGGTATATCCTGGCCCCTCAGGTACCATTTAAGGTGGAACGGGAAAATTAGAACAAGAAGCTGGCGAATAAGAAGCGACTTCAGCCTCATGAAAAGTCGAACATTGAGGGACATTTTACAATTAACTGTTCTACTTTTGGAAAAGTTTCCTGTCAGAGATGTGAGAAAAGCAGCTATAGCTGAGCTAATAATTAAAGCAGAGCAAAGCAAGTCAGCGTTTTAGTTTGTATTATATTTCTCATCTATACTAGAACATCAGCACATACTGAGACATATTTACAGACAAGATGGTAAAACGGACATAAAATTTTGTGGCTCCCAAAATTGTGACAACATTTTGTCCAAAAGGACAAAATGGATCTTCTTAACATTTGGCTTGCGACCTCTGAACTAAATGAAATAGAAACTTCCAAATCAGTTTTATTTTAGTTTATTTATTTATTTATTTATTTTATTGCAACAATAAGAACATGAACAATCACAGGTAAAGTTAAAACGTTCAGCGATATAGATGATCATAAAAACAGCACATTAAGTAAAGATTCACAGCTTAAATAAATATGTTTATGATAAACTGCTATGAGGTAATACATGTAATACATGCAATACCCACAATTCAATAGTACTATGTAATATTAATTTGTAGCTTTAAATATGTAGAAAGATAGGAATAAATATTGATAACCTTGCTGAAAGACTCACCCAGCATAGTCATACTGGTTGACCAGCATACCAGCATCCAAAAGACAACACATGCAGGTCTATGCTGCTTTTTTCACTCATCATCAGTTTATTATTCCTGTACTTTACTGTCAGAATTCATTTGGGAATTTGACACAGTGAAAAATTTAACTGAATATGGGACGACATGGTATTATTAGGATGTACAACCTGTAATGTGCATCACCTCCAAACCATTGTTTACCTACGTTTTGAACACAAACAGCAGGGGGTGCTCTGATCTCCTTCCTTCTCCAACACTACCATCACAATAATGGGTAACACAGTTATACTTATAGCTTTGCTATAGCTGGCAAAACTACTGCCCTGCACTGGTTATTGTACGATATCCAGAGTGACGGAGGATCCATAATCAACCCTAAACCCTGCGTAGATAGGCTCAGAGAACCGACAGTGGAACGTATGTATGTGGTTCAGCGTGAGGTTTGAGGAGTTCACTCTGTTCTCAGCTCTTATCACTTATAAGAAACAACAAATCCAGTCAAAACAGCCATTAGGTACACACTTAAAAAGACGGTTCTTCAAGGGTTTTTCAGTAAAGAGATTGGGCCTCATTCACCAACCGTTCTTAAGAAGAACTTTCTTCTTAAAACCCACAACTGGAACACAATCCCGTTACCTTTTTTCACTATGGCCCCTTTGGGTCTCCTGTAAAAGTCAAAGGGAAATAAGTAAAGAAAAACATGAGTTTCCAAAACTGCCCCCATCAGATAAACAGCACTTAAAGCTTTCATCTCTGAGAGAGAGGAGAAAATCAAGCTGCTTCAGATCTGAAAACTTCCACAGGTGTTTCTGTCCATCCTTCCACTGTGAGAAGACGACTCAGCGCTGTGGGTCTGAAAGGATGTGTAGCTGATCAAGAAGAACCTCACTGAGAAAAGGAGACGGACACATCAAACAAAGAAGCTGAACGACGGACTGACCACCCCAGAGTCCAGACCTCAACACCACTGAATGTGTTTGATTACTTCAGAAAATGATCAACCAGCTTCTAAGACTGAACTTTGGAGGTGTGGATGCAGATTCTTTGAGGAGGAACTGAAAGTGAGTCTCCTGAAAAGAATGGAAGCTGGAATGAAGGGAAAGAGAGAATCACTGACTCACACAGCTGAGAGTAGAGTTAGTTGTTTGTGTAATTTTCTGTTAAATATGTATTTTCTGCTTTTTTCTTGATGCTGAAAAAATGAACAACTAGTACTTGATGGACATTTTGACTGGAAATGATATAGAAGAAGACTTTTGCACTGGGCTGTTTACAGATTACATCTGATGGATTCTTGTTGTTTGTGAGTAGAAAGAGTTCAGTGGGACGGACAAAAAACGTTCCTCTTCTAAACTAAACTAGGAGGCAATAAAACAGCAGAAATTCCTCCTCTAGACTTCAGAGGGCAGTAGAATACTGAGGAATCATTTCAGTCACCTGTCCGCAAAGCACACTGGGCTGCTGCCTGTATGAACATATTATATAAATAAAGTTATAACCACAACAGCAAGAACAAAACAACAACAACCACAATAATAGTAAATATTATTGTTGTTGTTGTTGTTTTGGTGTTGCTGCTGTTGTTGTTTTGTCACTTGTCTTTTTATGTTTAATCTCTCATCTTTAAAGCACTTCGAGCTGCTATCTGCATAAAAATGTATATTAAAATGTATTATTATTATTATTATTATTATTATTATTATTATTATTATTCGTAGTAGTAAAATTAGTAGTGGCAGTAGTTGTACTCATGATAGTATTAGTATTATTATTACTACTAATAAACAGCAGAAATTCCTACTCTGAATGCCAGAAAGCAGTAAAAATCTGCAGAATATTTTAATAACTTCTCTATGAAGCACCTGGGGCTGCTATCTGTATGAAAAGTGTTCTATTAGTTATTTTATTAATTATTTTATTTATTTATTACAACATCAATAATATCGTATTAGTATAATATAAACGTATTTACAATAAATGTTTATAATAAGAAGTATTATTACTATTATTATTATTATTATTATTATGTTTTAAAGCACTTTTAGCTGCTATCTGAAGTGAGAACTGCTCTATAAAGAAAGTTCCTCTTCTCTACACCAGGGGCAGCAGAAAACTGCAGAAATTCCCCCTCCAAGCATTAGGGGGCGGTAGAACTCCTTAATAGCCCCAACATGATAAATGGCCCGGTGCGCATGTGTGGAAGCGTCGGCGGAGAGGGAGCGGAGAGGCGCAGAGAATGGAGATAACACGGCAAAGTAAGAGCGAGGCGCAGTTACACAACACAGTCAATACACACTGCATGAGCTCGGCCGGGCTCGCACTGCGCTCATTCACCTCCCTGCTCATTCCCATCCTCCGTTCCACCTTAAATGCTGCAGCAGTTACATTCTGGCGCCCCAGGCTTGTAACCGCTGCAGCATTTAAGGTGGAACGGACAATGCGAATGAGGAGCCGATTTCAGCCTCGTGTCAGTGCGCACGGGGTAAATAACCGTGAATGCCGGTTTAAACGAAGTTAATGCGGGTGTGGAGAAACACAGCGCATCAGTTTTAACGTCATAACTGTGTTTCATCTCGTCTTTTTCTCCCTGCAGATTTTAAGGAGAGTCTGAGCACCATATACAGCGCTGTAGAGGAGGCTGACTTCCTCGCCATTGATGGAGAGTTTTCGGGTAAAACGGATGATATTTCTGGAAATGAAACCAAATCAGATCCAGCATAGCTGAATTGGATGTTTGTGGATTCAGAAGTGCTGCTTTTTATGAATTGCTTGCAGCTTATAGACAAAAATCAGGAATAAATTTGCTCTTTTTCTGTATTTTCCAGGAATAAGTGATGGTCCCTCGGTCAGTGCGCTGACCAATGGCATGGACACACCTGAGGAGCGCTATGCGAAGCTCAGGAAGGTCTGACACTCAAGCACACACACACACAAGCCCTGTTTACACCTGGTTGTTTGAATCTGGTTTGAAATCTGATTCGGTTTCAACTGCACGTGTTTACATGTGGTAGTCAAACGCAATCGAAATGACCCTGTTTACACCTGGTCGTTAGAATTTGGACCTTGATTTGGTTTCAGCTGCATGCGTTTACATGTGGTAAGCAAATGCGATTGAAATGACCCTGTTTATACCTGGTCATTTGAATCTGGACCTTGATTCGGTTGTAACTGTATGTGTTTACTCATGGTAGTCAAATGCAATTGAAGTGGCCCTGTTTACACCTTGTCGTTTGAATCTGGACCCTGATTCAGTTTCAACCGTACATGTTTTACCTTATATTCAGGAACCAAGTGATTGCCCTCTCTTTTTTACATTCTATTCAGATTATAGTTGATAATCACATTTTTGCATAGCACTATTGATGTCTTTACATCAGCAGTCAGATGTTTGGAGTAATTAGCTTTCAGATTGTAATAGCACACACATGCATACATTGACCAGGTAGGGGCAAAACGTGGTATGACTAGCGAATAGAACGATCACACTGCATTTCACAACAGCGTTTCACTGTTTATTAACTACAACATGAACAGAACATTACCGACCTGGGCCTGTATTACAGAACCATCTTAATTCTCAAATCTAAGCTTTGTAGTCTCTATGATGACTTCAGTACGGACTGAATTTAGTTCAGTAGCTATTCCAGAATAACAGCTCCTAACTTCATAATCTCATCATGAACTCCAGATAAGAAAACAGCATCACACAAACATCCTAACTAGACTGAACCTCCTAAATCCTGTCCTAACTTTAGGATGAACCCCAACAGGGTCCTCACTTCTGTTTAAGGTCCGTTTCTATGGTTTTTAGGCAGCTGAGTCAGCAGCATAGTTCACTACCAGCATAATGAGCTCCATTTATTCCTACTGTAAAACGCTGCTTTCACTGTGAGATGATTTTCTTTTCTAACTCTGCATTTTAAAGATCTCAGACGCTGCAGACTCGATCTCCACCGCCCCTCTGATCACCTTCGTGTGTTAATGTTGATGATGAAATATTACAGTGACGGTGATGAATAATGAGGAGACGGAGCTGAACGAGGAATAACATTAATGCGCTCGACTAAAGAGTTTGGGAAATGGAGACTGAAACTGGGGAGCGATGACACTGATAAACAGCAGGGGGCGCTCTCACAGTATTCACTACTTACAGTTTATCACTCTTTAGTTCTGTTTGACCTTTTTTACATCAGTAACAGCATCTTAACTCAGATTATTTTGATTGTGTTTATGTTTCAGCTGTGTGTGTGTGTGTGTATGGTTGGTTGCTAGGAGACAGGCATGACAGTTGATTGTCGACTTCGATCGAGTAGGCTAAGACTTCCTAACTGGAGATAAGATGCCTTAGGATAAGATTCCTAAATTAAGATCAGATTTGCTTCTGTAATACAAAGTTGTAAAAATCTTATCCTGACCGGTCAGATCTGAACTTGGGACTAAGATAGGAAGTTTGTGTAATAGGGGTGCAACGATTATTCAGCTTAGTCGACTAAAATCAACGACAAAATTAGTTGGCAACCTCAAGAACAGAATCCTCAAAAGTGTGGAGCTAAACTCAGAGAAATGTTGTCAGTTGTGCTGATTAGTTTAGTTTTAAACACTGTATCGTTGTCTTAACGCCGAGGTCTCCAGTGCGCTCGAACTCGGCGAACACAGGAGATCCAAACAGTTTTCTGTTCTTCGTGAACATTTAGCTCCACTCGCTACCCGTTTAAGGAGGTAGTATTACACGAAGATATAGGGCAGTTTGACAAAAGGTTACCGTTTAAATGAAATGTTTTAAAGTTGTTCAAATTGAACTCTTCATAGTGAAGTTTGCCACAAACATTCGCCACTTTCCCATCTGCTCCCTCAGAGCACTTCTTCTCTGCAGTGGGGAGTATCTGCTCTCAGAGGAGAGCGAGACTCACAGGAGCACGGAGACATGATGACTTTCCTCCGTTTCACTAAAGATCTGTGATTGTAAAATTTAGTTGCAGCAAAGTGTAGAGACAGCAGAATGCACAAAGCACAGACTGCACTGTTTAAATTTAGTTTTAAATTTAGATTGATTTGTTTACTTGATTAAAGGAAGACTGATTTAGTTTTTATTTTATTACTGCTACTTTGCACAACCTTGGTTTCAAATTTTGACAGGAAAAAGATATTGGAGTTTTATTTATCTTTTGTATTAGCAGGAACAGTTCATTACAACAGTGAATTTTTGAATAAGTTATTCATCTTTATTGTCTTCATTGTTATTTAGCAAAAGCATAAAACAACCTCGGAATTTTACAACAGTGGAATTTAAAAGCCAATAGCTACGTAAGAGTCATTTGGTAATGTAATGTTTTATAATCTGAATAATTGATTATTCGTTTCAGTAATTGATAGAATATTCGAATATTAAATTAGTCGTTTGTTTCAGCCATATTCTGTAATACAGCCCCAGGTCACCAGCTTGCTAATTACCTACAGGCTGTAGTAATGATATTCAGATTATTCGAGGGTTTTAATGAAGCAGTCACTGTAAACTGCAACTTAAACATTCTGCTCTCAGTGTTTAGGCTGTAATATGTCAAAATGCATCGCTGCACTGAACTGCTGTGCCACAAATGACTGGTCAAACTGAGTCACATATCCAGAAATCTGTTTTAATCAAATTGGAAAAACGCCAGGATTCTTGTAGGTTTTAGCCGTTCAGACTGCAGAAAGTCTGTCCTGCTCAAATTGGATTTGCCAAGAAATCTGATTCAAGCTGCCTGTTTGAACAAAGCCTGAGTCTCGGCATCTTCTAGAACATTAAGCCAGCTGTGCATTACTGTGGGTTTCCAGTGACATGAGGCAGAGGCGCAATCACTGTGATCAGCTTTGTAACATTTTTGTTTACCGCACTTAATTTTCACAGATGCTGTTAATTTTTTATTTATTTTTTTTTCCCCATGGAGGAAAGAAACAGCTTAGATCTGGAGTTACTTTTTTAAGGAATAACACCGACTATGCAATGACAACCTCAAGTCTGTTTCTCCTCTAGACATAACCTGCCTTCGTCTACAATCAGAGACTTGAATTTATAATCCAAACACGAAAAACACCAGATTCAGAAACTCAAGACTCGATTCAGACCCTCACCTCAAACTCGAGACTGTACTCTGGCTCATGTGAAGTGACCTGTGAAATGAATATTAAAGTTTTCCTTGACCTAATTTCTTCTCTCTCTCCTGCAGCACTCCATGGACTTTCTGCTCTTTCAGTTTGGCCTCTGCACGTTTAGATACGACCAGGCACAGTCAAAGTGAGTGATCTTGCACAAACATCTGTCTTTGGAAGGAAAGTCACTCATTCCGCTGGAAAATGGATGATCTAATTAATTAACAAGCACACTTGTGCAGCGTACATACACACTAACAAACTAACATTTTCTTTACAACCCCCCCCTCCTGTAGCTTAATATTAAACACTTTATTGGTACCCCAAAAGAAAGTAGTCGTTCAAATATGGCAGTGTGTGTAGAGTAGAATGCTCGAAGAATAAACTATTTAACAGTAAAACACTTCTGATGGACTGAACTGAGTGTGATAACTATTTTTTTTTCTATCTGTTCTTTTTGCAGGTATCTTACAAAGTCTTTTAATTTTTATATTTTCCCAAAGCCCTTCAGCAGGACTTCTCCAGATATTAAGTTTATTTGTCAGGTAAGGGTGGGTGTGTGTGGGTGGGGCTGGGTGTGGGTGTGTGTGGATGTGATGATTTTAACACATGCTCTCTGTGTTGTAGAGTTCCAGTATAGATTTCCTGGCTAGTCAGGGATTCGACTTCAACAAAGTTTTCCGCAGTGGTAAGCAAAAATCTGAATTCCTGTGTGTGTGTGATTCTGTACCTGATTCTGATTCTGTGCCTGGATAGGATTCTGTAATTTCTGTAGGGATTCTGTACCTGGTTTGGGTTCTGTCATTTTGTATGGATTCTGTACCTGGTTAGGGTTCTGTCATTTTGTAAAGATTCTATACCTGGTTAGGGTTCTGTCATTTTTGTACGGATTCTGTACCTGGTTAGGGTTCTGTCTTGTCTGTAGGGATTCTGTACCTGGTTTGGATTCTGTCTTGTCTGTAGGGATTCTGTACCTGGTTCGGATTCTGTCTTGTCTGTAGGGATTCTGTACCTGGTTCGGATTCTGTCTTGTCTGTAGGGAGTCTGTACCTGGTTCGGATTCTGTCTTGTCTGTAGGGAGTCTGTACCTGGTTCGGATTCTGTCTTGTCTGTAGGGATTCTGTACCTGGTTCGGATTCTGTCTTGTCTGTAGGGAGTCTGTACCTGGTTCGGATTCTGTCTTGTCTGTAGGGAGTCTGTACCTGGTTCGGATTCTGTCTTGTCTGTAGGGAGTCTGCACCTGGTTCGGATTCTGTAATTTCTGTAGGGATTTGATTCCTGCTTCTGTAATATCTGTCGCCGTTCTGTACTTACTAGGGATTCTGTACCTGGTCTCTCCAATTTCTGTAGGGATTCTGTACGTGGCTCTCCAGTTTCAGTAGGGATTTTTTTACTTAGTTCTGATTCAGTATTTTCTTTGTAGGGATTCTGTACCTGGTTTTGATTCTGTAATTTCTGTGGGGATTCTGTACTTGGTACTGTTACTTCTGTAGGGCTTCTTTACCTGATACTGGTTGTGTAATTTTGGTAGGGATTCTGTACCTGATTCTGATTCTGTTGATTTTGAAGGCATTCCCAACTAATTCTGTTCCTGTTATTTCTGTAACTGATTCATAATTGAATTCTGTGTGTACTATAGTGATCCCTTACCTGATTCTGTCTCTGTAATTTCTGTAGAGGTTTTGTTCAGCTTCTGATTCTGTGGATTCTGTAAGAATCCCCAACTAAGTTTGTTCCTGTTATTTTTGTAATGTTTCTGCACTTGACTTTGGCTCTGTTTTTTCAATTAGAGATCCTCTATCTAATTTTGCTCCTGTAGTTTCTCTAGACATTCTGTATCTAGTTCTGGCTCTTTGGTTTCTGTAGAGATCCTGTACCCAATTTTGCTTTCTTGGTTTCTATAGAGATCCTGTACTTGGTTCTGGCTCTGTGGTTTCAGTAAAGATCCCATACCTGGTTTTGGTTCTATGGTTTCCATAAAGATTCCATTCCTGTTTCTGGCTTTGTAGTTTATATAGGGATCCAGTACCTGGCTCTGCTTCTGTGGTTTCTCTAGGGATCCCGTACCTGGGTCTGGTTCTGTAGTTTCTGTAGGGATTATGTACCCAGCTCTGGCTTTTGTGGTTTCCATAGGAATCCTGTACCTGGTTTTGGCTCTGTGCTTTCCCTAGAGATCCCATGCCTAATTCAGATTCAAATTCTGCGCTTACTGTAGTGATCCTTTACATGGTTCTGTTATTCTGTTGCGATCCACTTGCAGATTTTGTTGTTTCTCTCATCTGGGGATCCCTCACCTGATTCTGATTGATGCTGAGATTCTTTAGAGATTGCTTGCCTGATTCTCTGGTTTCTGTAGGGATCCCTTTACCTGATTCTGATGTTTCTGTAGGGATCCCTTTACCTGATTCTGTGGTTTCTGTAGGGATTTTATACCTGGTTCTGGCTCTGTAGTTTCTGTATGGATCCTGTACCTGGTTTTGGCTCTGTGGTTTACATAGATCCCATGCCTGATTCAGATTCAAAGTCTGTGCTTACTGTAGTGATGGCTTTCCTGATTCTGTAGGGATCCACAAGCAGATTTAGATGTTTCTGTGGGGATCCCTCACCTGATTCTGATCAATGTGATCCTTTAGGGATCCTTTGCCTGATTCTCTGGTTTCTGTAGGAATCTTTTTACCTGATTCTGATGTTTCTGTAGGGATCACTTACCTGATTCTGTGGTGTCTGTAGGGATCCCATATCTAAATCAGAAGAAGAAGCTCAGCTGAGGGAGCAGTATGAGGAGCGGAGGAACCAGATGAATGGATCTGGAACACCATCATACATCTCTCCTTTGTCTGGTAAAGGACCTGTCAATGTACCAGACGAACACAAAGACTTCATCAACAGAGTTGTGTGAGTTACATACATTTGCATTTAAACATTTAGTGTCAGTCAAGAGTTTTGACCCACTTGATTGACATTGGACATCTTGATCTAGAGCAAGCAACAAGTTGTAATGCAAAATAAATGCCGCACCTTGTTTGCATATTGCAGCCTTCTGTAATACCATTATTGCTAAGGCTAATGTTCAGGAATCTTGATTGTTTTGTCTTATTTATGGTTTCCTTTACCGTTTTTAAGACATGATTGTGGTTCAGCAGACATCATGTGGAACAGTGTTGTGCTGTAACTGATGTGTATTTTCAACAGGGAGAAGGTGGAGGCTCTTCTGAACAACTCTGAAAAAACAGTGGACCTGGAGCCATGCTCAGGGTGAGCTTTTGTGCGTGTATGTGATATGGATGTGCACTCTGGAAAAACTTTTCAACCTGAAATCAGAGTGAACCTTCTTTTATCATGTTAGTTTGTGTCCTCGGTCATTTTGAGCACAATCCATTGTGTCCTATCACTAAAAAGATTTGGGCTAGACCTGAATGTTTGACTATTAGGGTAATTGTTTGTTGGGTAGGTATTTGGTTTTTAATTTTGGGTTTCAGATGGAGATGTATATCCGGCCATCAGTAAAAGTGAAATTCAAAATACTATAACATTTCGGGTTCTCGGGAGATAATTGGACAACTCGAGGTTACGATCCACAACAGTTATTTGCAGTGCATGCACTATGCTGTTACCTCTAGTCCGCCGCGCCTGCTGCCTCTAAACACCGTCTCACATTTGGCTACAGACAGCTGTGACCAATCCAGCACAGTGTCAGCAACAGCATTCTCAACTAAACAGTTCTGTATTAGGCCTAGTCCAATAAATTTATTATTTTTTTGTATTTTTCTTCTTTCTCTTAGTTGTTTAATGTTTGTCTTGGTGCATTTTAAAACTGTTTGAGAAGATTAAAAACTAGGTTGACCTTATATGCAGGATAGTAATCTGGATGCTCAGAGGGTGGATCACCAGCGGCAGTCAGAAGGGTGCCGACCGATATATGCTCGCTATCTGGGATGTATAATCATGAGAGGACGGAGGAGAAAAAAAACAGCAGCAGTTCATTGAAATGCTGATTTTTAGGGTTCAGCAGAGCTGAAAATATGAAATCTTTCGCTCTGTTTGATAGTGTCATTCTTTGCTACTCCGAAACGCGAGTGCCTGAGCGTTAGCATGTTGCTTAGGATGTGTTGTTAAGGACGTGACCCAAAGGGCAGAGTTAACGCATCTTTTATCAGTAACAGGTCGATGTTAGCTCAGTCCAGAAACTGAAAATTTCTCTGGCAAACTAACATGGTGGCACGTTACTGAGGAGAAAAGACCTGCAGAAAATGAGGCCTCATCAGCATCTAGTATTAACAATAGGGCTCTCGCAATCATGACATTTTACTTGACAGTTGTCATATAAATAATTGTGATTAACAATTTATCTTTTCTTGTTTGCGTTTGCAACTGTTAAAATACAAGCCTAAAGTGGCCAGATTGCCGTGGCCGATTTGGCTAGTCTGTGTTTACTGAAGCAAACACTGTCTGTGCTGTCAGATAAATAGCTAGTTAGCTATGGAACTGCTTTTAAGATGTTCGTGTGATTTCTAAAAGCACTGAGATGAAGGATTCCTCCCCCTGAGATTGTGCTTCTACTCTTTTATTCTTCTTTCTATCTCAGGTTTCAGAGGAAGCTGATCTTTCAGACTCTGAACTGGAAGTGAGTATAGCTGCTCTTTAGATGTGGGAGTTCAAACAGAGGGGGGCGATTGCTTTTTTGGCGTGGGGGGGGGGCGTTTCATACAGTCTAATGTGATACTGTATGAAATGACTGTTAATTGATGTGATTATCTGCAGATACCCCAAAGGTCTTCATGTTGAAACGGTGGAAACTGAAAAGGTAACTAGCGCTGTCTGTTTATACTACTTTATATCAGGGTAGTGCACATTAAACATACTGTAGCTAATGCTAGCTAGCTTAAAATACAGAAAGCTAGCTAACGTTACTAACTTAAAGGAACTAGTAGTACCTGTTCAAAGTTCAGGTGTTTGCTGCTAAAACCAAATTGAGGAACTGGTGTTCATTTAGCTCAAACGTGCATTAGCAATGTTGAAGTTTTTCATTTTGATAATCATTTTATTGCCCGGGCCCATTATGAGAGTTCATCCTAAATGTATATGATTGTATGTGAATTTAACAGGCTTGTTATTTTCCTTTCAGAAAGAGCGGTTTATTCAGGTCAGTAAGGTGGATGAAGAAGAGCGGAGGAGAATAGAGCAGCAGAAACAGGAGAGAGAGCAGGTGACCTTAACTTCTGAACCTTTTACGTCTAACCTTATCACTGTGGAGGTCAGCAAGGAGCTTACACAGTGCATAAACATTCAGTTCTAATATGTTTGTGTGTTAACAGGAGGAACTGAACGATGCGGTTGGATTCTCCAGAGTGATCCACGCCATCTCCAAATCTGTGGGTTTAACTTTTATTTCGCTTTAAACTGCTGAACTAAATTTCAGGGTGAATATTAAAATATTTTTAACCTAGTGACTTCGGTGATGTTGTAGCAACCACTGCGCTGCTGAGTGGGATACCATAGCAACCACCTAGCCGCATCCTAGCAACCATTTGAGATACTTTAGCAACTCCCTTGCAACACTTTAGCAGCCATTGGGATGCCATAGCAACCACCTGAAACACCGTAGCAAAAACCTAGCAGCACCCTAGCAACCACTGAGATACCTTAGCAACTGCCTAGCAGTACTTTAGCAGCCACTTGGTAAACCATAGCAACCAACTGGGGTACCATAGCGACCACATAGCAACACCCTAGAAACCTGCTGGAACACCTTGGCAACCAGCTGGGACACCATTACAACCACCTACCCAACACACTAGCAACCACTTGAGATAATTTGGCATCCGCCTAGCAACACTTTTTAGCAGCCACTTAGCATCCTATAGCAACCTCCTAGCAACCAATAGGGTTGCCATAGAAACCACCTGGAACACCATAGCAAACACCTAGCAAAACTGTAGCAACCACATAGCAACACCTTAGCAACCAGCTGGGGCACCATAGGAGCTGCGTACCAACACCCTAGCAACCACTTGAGAGAATTTAGCAACCGCCTAGCAACACTTTAGCAGCCAGTCGGCAAATAGGATATAGCATCCACCTGGAACACCATATCAACCACCTAGCAAAGCCTCAGCAACCAGCTAGAACGTGATCTGCAGCCACCTTGCGACATCTCAAGCTTAAGCTGCGCAATGATGCTGCATTTTCTTCAGGAAATAACTAGTGTATTTTTTATGATTATGATTATTATTAGTATTATTACTGTATAATTTAAAGTAAATCACTTTTTCAGGGTAAGCTGGTGGTTGGCCATAACATGCTGCTGGACGTCATGCACACCATCCACCAGTTCTACTGTCCACTGCCAGAGGTAACCATGGGCATGGAGTTGTTTAGGTTGTGGGGCGAGATCTCGTATCTTGTTAGACATATATAACTGCTGATTATATTATCATATTTTGCATATTAAAGGCATTACTGTGTATTATGGATGCATTGTATAATGTACTAAATTTTAATTACTGCTGAAATATTCTAAAAACTTAGTGAATGTACTGGACTGCGTTATGAACATTAGAGTATTGTTTACAGTATGTTATGTTCATTACAGTTATAACTGAAACCTGCATGTGTCTTATTTCTGTGTTTGTAGGAGTTGGATGATTTCAAAGAGGTTACGATGTGTGTGTTTCCCAGGTAAGCCCCGCCCCCAAAACAAATGAATCACTTTATTTCAGAATCGCTTTATTTTCGTTACACATGAGGAATCTATACTGGTGAGTGCACACACGAGTAACTGAACAGACCAGACATGTACGCAGACTGTAGTCCACTGTAGTCATACGTCGTTCTGTGGTTTGTGTTTTGTCCATATTTGGAACTCCGTGTCTAAGCTTGATTTCTCTATGGCAAAAATGAATAGGGTTTTCAAAAAATAGGCTCTGTTGTGCACAGTGAATAAAAATGTTCAGAACCCGATACGCTTTGTCCTGTGTACATTTTTCTCCCATATCACTGGATCCTCTGAATTGCGAGACCGTTAGTCGTAAACCTACTATTGTTACATGCAAGTTAACGCTGCTGTGCATCAATTTGATGTCACTAAGCTACATTAAATTAAGGCTTAAGTGTTTTGACTAATTGTGCTGCCTTGTCAAAATGTCCTACCATAGCGCATATTTATTGGTAGCTCCTTACATAAAACCTCTAGGCTGGACATTATCAATAAAAATACTATCAGCATTAAAACTATGAGCCTGTAGTCAGCTATTTATTCACCAGCTTGTTAGAATTTTCCCATTCCACCTTATATGGTTCAGCAGTTACTGTGACGCCTCTGGTGCTGCAATATAACTGTTGCACCATTTAAGATGGAACAGGAAAAGTCCAACAAGAAGCTTATCAGAAAATATTACCAACTTTAAAAAATAATTTGGATAATTTGATAGTCTAAATCAGCTCTAAGCAGTAACATTAAGCTGAGTCTGTACTAAAATAACATTTAAAAACAATAAAATTTACTCTCTGGCACTGATAATATGCACATGTTCAGTAGAGCTGCTTGTTGGTCGTATCTCTGTGGTTTGTCTTATTCAAGGATGACCAGAAGAGCATTAAAAGAGGTGAAAACCAATTTCAGTCTGGTCATGTTGAGCAGTGTAGCCTGAGGGCTGCTACACTAGCAAAGTTGCTGGTTTGTGCAGTTTTTAAGGAGGCTGTCAGTCTAATCACAATTCAGCTCGCAGCCGTGTTAGTTTACCTGTAGCAAAGTTCATATTTCGTCTTACCCAACATGGCACAATCGGGTTTATCCAGTCAATCCTGGGTTTTGAACCCACAACCTTCCAGTTGCTGGCTCAGCTTTTCATCCACAGAAACATGCATATTTGAGTTCACGTTGCCTGTTTACCTGTTTTTATTTGGCTTTCAGGCTTCTGGACACTAAGCTGATGGCATCAACACAACCGTTCAAGGTAGTGTAGACTGGAGGAAACCAGATTAACCTGTAATTATAGTACTTAAAGATGAAATGATACAGTTGTTTAGTGCATTTGTCCCAATAACTGTGCACCTGTTTTTGTTTCCCCTCTTCAGGACTTGATCACAAACACATCTCTGGCCGAGTTGGAGAAGCAGTTGAAGGACAAACCCTTTAAAGCTCCAAAAGTTGGTAAGAAGCTCTAGTCTAGCTACGTGAACCTAACCCTTTCTTTTTGACCCTCTTGATAGAGCCGGTCTACCAAGATGACCAGCATGACTGAGCAGCTCTACTAGCAAGATCAGCTTGACTAAGTTGGTCCACCAACATGATCAGCTTGACTAAGCTGGTCTACTGACATGATATGCTTGACCCTCTTGACCGAGCTGGTCTATCAAGATGACCTGCTTGACTGAGCTAGTCTACTAATGTGGCCTGCTTGACCATCTTGACCAAGCTGGTCTACCAACGTGACTTGCTTGACCTAGCTGGTCTACCAACGTGACTTGCTTGACCTAGCTGGTCTACCAACGTGACTTGCTTGACCTAGCTGGTCTACCAACGTGACTTGCTTGACCTAGCTGGTCTACCAACGTTACTTGCTTGACCGAGCTGGTCTACCAACGTGACCTGCTTGACCGAGCTGGTCTATCAATATAACCTTGACCAAGCAAGTCTACCAACATGACCAGCTTTACTGAGCTGATCTACCTGCATGACCTGCTTGACCATTTGACAGAGCTGGTCTACCTGAATGACCTGCTTGACTGATCTGGTCTACTAATGTGACCTGCTTGACCATCTTGGCTGAGCAGGTCTACCAACATGACTTGCATGACCTGCTTGACTGAGCTGGTTTAATGACATGATCTGCTTGAGCCTCTTGACCAAGCAGGTCTGCTAACGTGACCTTCTTGACAGAGTAGGTCTATCAACATGACCAACTTGCCCGAGCTGGTCTACCTGCATGACCTGTTTGACCATTTGACCATTTGACCAAGCCGGTCTTACTGGCAGCTAAACCATCTTAACCATGTTGTTTTTGCCCACCACCTTGAGCATCTTAAACTAATAAATACTGGCTAATGACCATCACAGGCCAGCTTGGACCATCTGAAAGCTGCTGCCCAAAAGGGTGGTGTGTGGGTGTGGGTTGTTTTGTGTTCTGATTCAGTCTCTGTTTTGTGTGTAGAGTGTTCTGAGGGATTTCAGTGTTACGACACTGCAGCTGAACAGCTCCATGAGGCCGGATACGACGCCTACATCACTGGCCTCTGCTTCATCTCCATGGCCAACTACCTGGGTAAGACTGCATGTGCTAAGTGAAGTTGTCTCCTGTGTCCTGAGAGAAAAGTCAAAGAACTTATTAACAATCAGTCTAAATGAAAAGTTACGTTATGTTCAGGGGTAGGCAAAATTTAATTAGATGATTTTTTTTTTTTTTTTCTGTGAGCCAGATTTAAGGATAAATTGTAAATATGAGGCTGGTGCTCCTGCTTTGCCTGTAGGAATCTGAAGTGAAATTTAGTTTAGGTTTTAAGTTTTAAATTTGTGTGAAGGTTCTACCATGTAAGTGCAGCCTTAAAGTAAAGCGTGTGAGATGTTCATTTAACGTTTGTGTCTGTTTCTGTCTGCAGGTTCGTTCCTCACTCCTCCCAGAGCTCACATCTCTGCTCGCTCCAAACTCATCGAGCCCTTCTACAACAAGTGAGACTCGGAGCACGGTTCACATCCACAACACAGAAGCTAGCTCGCTTACAGTTAGCTTTGTGGGGCTGAGTTTGCTCTGCATCCACTTTAAGGCAGCAATCCATTGGGCAAAGGGCTAGGCTAGTATAGCTAGCTGGTTTTCTTAGCTAGTGTTACAACTTAAACTAAATTGAGACCAGCTACATTAGCTGATATTTAGCATTGGGTAATTTGTAAAGTTTCCGTTGCTCCATTAGCTCTCTGCAGTGTTGGAAAGGTAGATTTAAAAGAAATTATTTTTGGAGGTTTGGTGGTCCCACCACTGTGGGACTGGTTGGAGCCGTTTATGAAAGTCACCTTGACAATATCATTAACAGTCATGTTGTAATCGGCAGCAAATATAGACTGCAGTTATTTTCTTTTGTGTTTTTCCTAGATTGTTCCTCATGCGAGTGGTTGACATCCCTTACCTGAACATCAGCGGACCAGACTGTAAGTATAATGTATGTGTGTGTGTGTATGTATGTATGTATGTGTATATATATATATATATATATATATATATATATATATATATATATATATATATATATATATATATATATATATATATATATATATATATTAGTGTGTGTGTGTGTATGTATTAATTAGTGTGTATGTATATATGTACACGTGTGCGCTGACACATATTCAAACTCTGTGTTTCAGTGCAGCCGAAGAGAGATCATGTCTTGTACGTTACATTCCCTAAAGAATGGAAGACGAGTGACCTGTACCAGCTATTCAGCGCATTCGGTAACACATACCTACACTGTACTATTAAGTTGGCTTCACATTATTATTCTACACAGTTTTGTACCATTTTTCACAGATCCGTTTTTGAGCTGGAGTCACAAAATGTTACAGGCATTTACAAGAACAGTGCACGGTTTTCATACAGCGTTCATTCAAACACTGGTCAGCGTTCATTCATGCTATGTTATCCCAAGTGGTTGCTAATACGTATATATGTAACATACACTGTATAGTCCAAAGTATTGGGACACCTCCACATCACACCTACAGGAGCTTTTATGAATCCCATTCTAAACCTATGAGCATTAATATGGAGTTGGTCCCCCTTTGCAGCTCTAACAGCTTCCACTCTTCTGGGAAGCTTCTACAAGATTTTGGAGAGTGTCTGGAACTTGTCCATTCATCATTTATAAGGTCAGACACTGATGCTGGACGAGATGTTGGAGAATCTCTGTTCTAGTTCATCCCAAAGGTGTTGGATGGGGTTGAGGTCAGGACTCAGTGAGGGCCAGTCTAGTTCTTCCACACCAAACTCACCCAGTCAGGCCTTTATGGAGCTGCTTTGGTCACTGGGGCTCAGTCATGCTGGAACAGGAAAGGTTCTTCCCCAAACTGTTCCCACAAAGTTGGAAGTGTTCAGTTGTCCAAAATGTCTTGGTACTGAAGTACTAGACCAACCCCTGAAAAACAGCCCCATATCATCATCCCTCCTCCACCAAACTTTACAGCTGGCACAGTGCAGTCAGGCAGGTAACGCTCTCCTGGCATTCACCAAACCCAGACTCAACATCAGATAGAGAAGCTGATTGGTCACTCCACTGAACACGTTTCCACTGATCCAGAGTCCAGTGGCGGCGCTTTACTCCGCTCCATCTGATGCTTGGCATTGTGCTTGATGTAAGGCTTGTATGCAGCTGCTCAGCCATGAAAACCCTGCCATGAAGCTCCTGGTTCAGGTTTTGTGCTGATGTTGATGCCAGAGGAGGTTTGAACCCTGCAGTTATTGATCAGAGCGTTGGTGACTCTTATGCTCTGTGCTTCTCAGAACTCGGCGACCCGCTCTGTAACTTTATGTGGTCTGACACTTCGTGGCTGAGCTGCTGTGGTTCCTAAACGCTTTATTCAATAATACCACTCACAGTTGATCGTTGAAAATCTAGGAGGAAGAAATTTCGCAAACTGACTTGTTGTAATGGTGGCATCTATTACAGCGCCACACTCTAATTCAGTAAAATGTGTAAAGGCAGGCTGCATGGCTGGGTGCTTCATTTTATACACCTGTGGCAACGAGACTGAATGAAACACCTGAATTCAATGATTAAGAGGCGTGTCCCAGTACTTTTGTCCATATAGTGTAGATGGTCAGCACTTCTTTTTAAATATAAATTGGTTGAGTTTGGTCCTGTTATGCTGCCAGTTGCTACTTCAGTGCTTTTTAGTCAGGCTTCTCTGTTTTAAATGGCTCTAAACCAGGAGCACCTAAGAGTTGTCATGATACCTGAACTTTAGTAAAAGCATAAAGCACAAACTTTTAATTATAAACTATATTATTAAAACCTGCAAAGCTACAGACTAAAGGCCACAGGCTCCCGCAAACCAGATGCGTTAGGCGCTACCACTCAGTATCTTACTGTGACTGTAATGTATTAAACACAGATCACAGTCTGAAAAATGAAGTCCTTATTATTAACAAACACGTTTGGATAGATTTCATTCAGCACACAGCTGGATTAGACCACTTTTGTGTGGTGAGTGGTGTTTGTGTAATCGGGCTGAATACGGAGACTGTTCGCTATCAAAACTTGTGTTGTTGTCATCGATTTTCAGGGCTGCTGTTTTAACTCCCTGGCAGTCGTTAATGTCGGACCTTGACTTATGTTTTTATGTACTTTTCCTGATGACCTGTGCATCTCCTGTAACCTTCAGGTAACATCCAGGTGTCGTGGATTGACGACACATCGGCGTTTGTTTCTCTCAGCCAGCTGGAGCAGGTGCAGATCGGTACGGTTACCGTATTTACATACAGTGTCATTTTTACTGTTTTGGGTTTCATTTCAGAGAATATTAAAGTGAGCTTTGATCTCTGGTTTTCTGTTAATCTGTTTAAACGTGTTTAATTCATAGCGATGAACACCAGTCAGTACGCGGAGAGCTACCGGATCCAGACGTACGCCGATTACATACAGTCCAAACAGAAAAACACGAACACAAACAAGAAGTGGGCTGAGGACGGGTGGGCCAACACCTCCTACAGGGCCGCTGCCATGACAACCTCGTCTACGTGCAGCCACATGCACAACAGGTGAGGTCAAAATAACTGTAAATAAATAATGAGTAAATTCTCCCTCAGATCACCACAGTCAGCACTGGCCATCTCAGATTTGTGATATTTTCTGGAAATGTCCTTCTGCCCAGTAGACTTTGTACTCGTTCGTTTTTGAGATAAATGGCTATAAAGTGGGCGTGGCCTTAATTAGAGCAAATTCACTGCTCTATACCTCCACACTGAAGCTCATCTGCTATCAGTTACTCGTATTACAGTGCTCAGATGGCAGCTGTGTTTGGATTGTAATAATGTGATGTTTGATTAAAAGTGCAGGTTTTTTAACTGAAGTGTTTGTGTAGGTCGCTGACGGGGAAGAGGAGCATCAGCCCCACTCAGGAAGATCAAACCTCTGACTTCAGCGGCGTCGCCGATAGCAACTGGAGTCACTACACAAAGAAGGTTAAAACAGATGGTAAAGTGGATGTTTTTTTATATCTCATCTAATTTATCTCTGCAGCAACAATGCTTTTTCTATATATTTCAAATAGGCAAAAACAGCAAAAATACGAATTTTATATTTTGAAAAGTTGATATCTAAAACCAAATGTGCTCTTCAAACTAGATTTCTCCTGGATTTATCAGATTTTATAAATCACATTTCATTAAACTCCTTTAGCATCACCTGATTTGACATATTGAAGTACTGATGAGAAGAAGCAGCTATTTAACTACAGTTAATACTGGGCTTTTTTGCAGGGAGGGCAGGAAATGGTTAAACGCGCACTGACACACAAGATCACTTTATTTATTCATTCATTTATTTATTTGTGTGAATGTATCTCGTTGCTGTGGGAACAAAAATCTTGCATTTCAGTTTTAGTTGTTTTTAGATTCAAGTTGCCCTTTATGTTGTGTTCAAATTTCTTGATTAATTGAATAACAGAAATCATCCAAAATTATTTGGAAAAATATCTTTTTTACATTTAACTTCCTTTATAAGTTAAGGAAGTTTTTTTGTTCTCTTGTAAAGTTACTATTTTGGAGATATGAGGCTTTCTTCCAACAGAGATATAATATTAGTAGTAAATATCTATTTTTAAAATACTAATTTTTAAAGAGGCACTATGAAAACACAGCAGTAATGATTACCTTATAATGTTATACATATGATGTATGTTCTTCAGCTGGAGCGAGTGGCGGATGTGGTCAGACGTACGCTGATGCTGTGGACTCGACGACGGACAGCTGGCTCAAAGCTCAGTATGTGTAACAGCTCCTCTCTGTAATTCCTGATCTACAGCGTTCTTTGCAGGAAAACTTCAGTATTTCTACAGTCTCAAATACGAATACGGTCAAGGCAAATGTGATGAATTAGTTTCTTTATCTGTTAGCTACATTAGCCTTGTAGCTCCTATGCTAAAACTAAAGCAGTGCCTCAGTTTTAACCTCTGTTTTAATTCTGCTCATTCAGGCCAGGAGAAGGTGCAGCGTCTACCAGCCCAGCCCAGGGAGAGGCGGGGTCTGAGGAAGCCGACGCCTGGCCAGAGCTGCCAACCAATCAGAGTCAGGGTAAGAAAAGCGGTGAATGGCAGCAGATTCCACTAGTTTAGATCCAGAAGTGTGATACATATGAATGTGCATCTGAAGTAGCCTGTTAACTCGACTGGTTTGTTTGTTAGGATGATTTAACCAAAAGACATTTCTACATTGTTAGTTCATGTGTCTGGTCAACATTAAGCACAATTTCAGGGATTTCCATGGATCCTTAAAGTCTTAAAATAAACATTTAAAAATATAAGGTTTAAAACCCCTGAAAACATCTTTTGTTTTTAAACTATTAGGTGTTGCTTTTAGGGATGGACCAAATTAAGGGCTGCAGAATATTAAAGTAACTGGTAGGAAAAATCATCAGTCAGTCAATCAGGTTTGATCATGAGCCAATATTAAACACACAAATGGTCATTTTAAAAAAACGTAGGCTAAAAAATCAAAACTGATCAGTCCAGAATGTCACATTATGCACTGAAACTGGTTTTACTGGAGCATTAACTGTCACAGTAGCTTTATTTTGACTAAGCTGTGCAGCAGTATTACAGCAGATTGGACTCAGTATTGGCTCATACTTAATATTAAAGGACTGTGATCAGATCGGGGGTGAAATATAAGCCAGGATGTCCCTAATTAAACGGAGATGATGCCTGAAGACTGCGTTGAGAAATGGACTGTCGTATATTAAAGTACTCCAGAATAGTCCATCAACCAAGAAAATGTCCAGTGTACTAAAAAGACAGTGTAGGACTGTGCAGTCTCAAAGATTGTGTAGATTTAAAAAAGATAAATATATAAAACAATTAAATTTGATTAAAATTGATATTTAATACATACCATATACATGTGTTGCTGTGCGGTGGAAATATTGTTGCACTAAAAAGGTATTAAGCATTGAATTTTTAAAAATCTGACTCAACCTTGAATTTATCATACCGTTTTTAGAGGACTGAATTCTTGTTTCTCTGTATTTTTCATCTAAATGTAATTGATTTAGCCTCTGAAATACTAATGTCTCTAAAGTTTGAATGCGTAATGATTAAAAAAAAGCTAGAAGGCCCTGTTGGGTCCCCACTGGTAGCTGAAAACAGCCTAATGTCTGTCTTTACTTTATTTCTTCTCCGCTCAGGTTCTCAGGCCACCTCTACAGGACTGTTTGACGTCCCTCAAGTTTGGTAGCACTAGCCAATCAGCGGTTTCTATCTGAGAACCAATCAGAGGAGGCCGTCTGAGACCACACCTACCCTACAGCCAATCAGAGGAGACTGTGTCGGACTGCACTTAAACACATAACCCAAAGCCATACGACCCTGTGGCATAGCAAAGATACCAACTCTCATTCTGTTCGTCCTTCTGCATCCCTCTGCATGACGGATCACAGGGACTTCGTAAGGAGTGCGTAAAGTCTGAGCTCTGTAGAATCTCTTATAACTGTACGCAGGTGCTGAAAGTGAAACTCTTGCCGCTTTAACACAACAAACACGGTTTACAACCTGCCAGCAATTAATTTTCTGACACAAGTATGTGAAAGAGAGGGAGTGATGGGAAACGTAGTTAGCTTAAGTTAGTTTGCGTGTAACGTGTGCAGTATGTTTTAACGTTTTGTCGGTTTAAGTGTCGTGTGAATGTATGTGCGCCTCTCCCTCTTTCTTTCCGATGTGGTCATGATTTATAGGTAATTTTTAAATATGGTTAGGTTGTTTTGGTTTTGTTTCTTTTGGTTACATTTTGACTTTCTTTTAAATGTGTAGCGTTCTCCCTTTAGAATAACCTAACTTTGCCCCTTTTAGCAAACGCTGCCACTTAGAACATCTCTATTTATTCCCCACTGTGAGAATTATGGATTTTTCTTTATATTTTGTATGTAATTGTTTGTCTCTGTATGTGTTTTTTTGCCACACTCAGCAGATCAGCTGCAGGTTTAAAAAAAAAAGTGGAATGTTTATCAGAACAACAGGATTATGTCTAATTTTTCTTTTTTGTATGATCATGTCCTCTTTCAGAGAGGAGGAAAAAATAAAAGAATGTTTCTTAGTATGTCTGGTTTTTCGATCACTTCTTGGTCTGACGTTCACAGTATATTTTAAAAGTTAGTCAAACTCTAAAGCTCAAACAGCCTGTGGTTGGCCAGCCAGATGGCCCCTTCTTGTCAAAGTAGGCAGTTTAAGGCCACTTTTTTTAGCAACAAAAGCCACCAGGCGGTTTGGGGCAAAGGGGAGAATTTGATGACTTGAAAGACATCAAACCCAAATCTATTAACCATCTTGGGAAAATCTGCAACCCATATCCTTAAATCTGAGAAATCCCAAACCCAAATTCCTTAACCTTCCCTGACAATGCCTACCCAAATCCCTCACCCTTAACCGTCCCCGACGTTCTCCAGCCCAGATCCCTCACCCTTAACCGTCCCCGACGTTCTCCAGCCCAGATCCCTCACCCTTAACCGCCCCTGACGTTCTCCAGCCCGCATCCTTTACACTTAACCGTCCCCGACGTTCTCCAGCCCGCATCCTTTACACTTAACCGTCCCCGACGTTCTCCAGCCCGCATCCTTTACACTTAACCGTCCCCGACGTTCTCCAGCCCGCATCCTTTACACTTAACCGTCCCCGACGTTCTCCAGCCCAGATCCCTCACCCTTAACCGCCCCCGACGTTCTCCAGCCCGCATCCTTTACACTTAACCGCCCCCGACGTTCTCCAGCCCAGATCCCTCACCCTTAACCGTCCCCGACGTTCTCCAGCCCACATCCTTTACACTTAACCGTCCTTGATGAACTCTAAACACTCAGCCTTAACTGTCCTTGACAATCCCAAACCCACATCCCTCACCCTTCACTGTCCCTGATGATCCTAAACCCAATTCCTTTACACTTAACTGTCCTTGACAGTCCCCACTCCAAATCGCCCAACAGTCTCTGGATCTGGGCATCCTTAGCCCCAATTCATGATCTTCCATGACAATCCCCAATCCAAATCGATTTATCGGTCCCCAACAATCCCCAACACACATTCATAACCTTCCCAACAGGCCAACAGCCCTGAACTCAAATCTTTTAATTTAAATTTTGTTTTTAACCAGTTAAAAAAAAAACACATCTCTTGGCCTTAACTGTCCCAGACAATCCTCAACCCAGATTCTCTACTTGTCAATTATCCCCAACCCAACTCTCTGGGTCAGGAGTGTGGAGCAGAGCAAAGCGTCACCACGACTGGGATTGGGAACCCCTTCTTTAAACCTGAGGCTTAATTTATACACATTTGTGAGAAACCACATAAACAAGACACGGATCGATTTCTAATTTTTTTCTTCTTTAAATCTGAAACACTGTTGCTGACTTCCAGGAAAAGAAATTCCTTCAATGTCATTTCAACACATTTAACACAGCTCAGTAACCTCAACCATTGGAGAGATTTTCAGGCCGGAGGCATCAAACTCCAGTGTAAAGTACATAAAACAGTAAAAGCACTTATTCAAATGGATGCGCTCCAGTCTGGTGTAAACTGTGTGATTTAAAAGTTTTGCATTGTGTATCAAAGAGGTATAAAAACATTATAGAGAGGCCTCCTGTATGGGGAAACCATCTAACTGTACATTCACATTAGGAAATGACAAATCACTGATATCGGCAAGTTTATCTTGTGTGAGTAATCAAGGCCACCCTTCACCCTTCGTTCACACCGGCAGCGACTTTTTGCCTCTTTTGCCCAAATCGTTGGTCGCTCATCGCCTGTCAGCGTTTCTAAACTCGAACTGACGTTGTTCGCCGTGGTTTCACTGACGCCAAACACAAATCAGATGCAGCTCACTGAAAATAAAAATCCTGGTGAGGAATCGCTTGTGTGTTTTTATTTAATCCCTGTGTCTGTGCAGTCAGTAACAAGCGTAGCGTTTCACAGTAGTGTAGATAAAGTGTGTAATATGCTGCTGAATGCTCAATTCCTATTGGTAGCTGGCACACTGCTTCGCTCCTTATTTGCATAAAGTTAGGGTTACGCTGCTCAACTTTGTTCTGTTGCCAACATTTGTGCTGCCTCTTATCAGTGGAAATCGTCAGTTCTCAATGAAAATGAATGACCTCCGGCCACCTTGTCGCATTGTGTCACCGCCAGTGTGAACGCAGGGTTATACGGTGTCCCGCTCTCGACATCAAACTGTAAAATATCTAATGTATGTATTGCCATTGTATTTAAAATATGATCGCGGTTGTAAGTTTACAAGTTTCTGTTGGGAATAGGAACAAGATGCTGGTAGGATATTTCATACTATATACAGTATATACCAAATACAGTATTAAAAAATATAGGAACAAAAAGTTTCAATAGCAGATGCTGGGGACCTCAGTGTCTACGATTGGTTCAAGGAATTTGTTTGAGCCAGTCATTTTAATTGTCGCTTCTCCACGTCATAAAAAATTTACTTAAAGTTGAGAAAATCTCGACTAGTCACTAAATCACGGCTACAGATCCCCTACATCCGTAGAAAATGACTGGTCACCTGCTAATGTGAACGAACAGTAAGTTCTGGTGCTGGCTGATCCCTGGTGATGCCACAGCCATACGTAATCAGGAGTCTAAGTGATCTGCCCATGCTCTCTGTGGATGCTCCTTGCGGTCCCTCATCACTCAGCATGAAGTTAGTCCAACGCAGGTGTCTGTTAGCTGATGTAATAGAATTAGCAGTCTCCTCCAAGCGTGTTGACATTGCATTATCAGTGGTTTAAAAAGATGTGGTGGAGCTTCATGTGTCTCTGAAGAAGCCTGTGTTAACCTTCACCCTCCCAGCTTGCAGAGGGAAGGCTTGACAGTGGGTGGAATTGGGGTAAATTGGCAGTAAAAAGGCCTATCCATGTGTGTGACATCATATAGCAGCATCAAGGTCAGTTTTGACGTTTTCAAGAGGCTACGTCCGCTTGAAGTCGATGAAACACAAACCGGAGTATTCCACACCACCACTGAGGAAACAGACAAAAATACGTTAGAGCTTTAAAGTGATAGTTTGAAGCCCAAAATCCCAAAATGCAGTGGATCAGTCAAGAAACATGTGGTGTCTAAAGTTAGCACTGGAGACTCGAGGCTAATGTAGCTAACAAGCAGGGCTGGTTGTCGTATAGACCTTTTTAATATCAGTACCAATAAGGTTATCTTGACTTTTTTGAACTTAAAAAAGATGTGGGTGTGGCTTTCACCGGAAATGCTGAAAGTGGGTGTGGCTTAAAGCAGAAATAAAGGTGGTTATTGGTTATGAATACGCTGTCTGATGTCAGAGACATTTTTATTAGTTTTGAAAAGATTTTTTGAAAACGTAGTTTTAAAACCCATTCATGGTGGAGGGATACATGCAGGGCGCTGTGAGGCAAAATAGTCCCCAAAGAAAACTTATTATTTCAGATTTTCCACTATTTTCATCATCAACATTCCATATAAACTCAGAAGACTCGTGTAGGTTCACTGGTGGTTCTGGATAGTAAATAAAATGTCTATATCTGTGTTGTAGTCATGGCGACCCCTGGTTCCTATCACCACCACTGTAAAGACATCTGAACCATTTCACACCAAACCACTCTGAGTCACTCTGTTTACATCTCACACACTGAATTATGGGGGAATTTTGAAAAACTGATGGAAATTAAGTTTAAGTAATTCAGACCTCATGGTTCCTGGTAGGATGACGATGCTGAGTGTGTTCTCCTCCAGAGCGTTAAACATCTTCCCCACCTTTCTGTCCATCTCCCTCATCACACTCTCCATCACTACGTCCTGTAATCAGAGAGGTTTGATTAGAAACATCAGTATAAAACCTGTGTGAAGTGATTTCAGTCTGTTAGTGCTTTTTAAACAGTCATTGATTTGTTAGGTTTAAATTCTGCTGTTAAATTCTTGAAATGGCCAAAGGAAAATCGTCCAATCAGGATTGTTCTCTCTGTGGTATCTAGGTAGACACAGCTGAGCTGCTCTCCCATTGGTTAGGACTTCAGGAGCTGGATTGAAAGCCTTACACGTTAGATTAATTACCAACATAATTAACAGGAATCAACCAATCATGCTTTGATTTACAGTGGGGTGGAACCAAAAACATCACTCTAGTCCTTCTGTAGGTTCTAGATATGTCACTGACTGTGAGCCTATGCAGGTTCCAGGTGGTTGTTAGGAATGTAAAACAGCGGCGGCAGCTCTATACTGTAACACTGATACACACAAACTCAGATATATGATACTGTCATTGGAATTGCTTTCACAAGCTTTAGTGAGACCAAAGTTTTATAAATTTCCTGAATAATTAAAAGTTAAGATGTAAACAAAGTCATTCAGAGCTCCCTCACAGAAAGTTCCTACATGAAATGGTTATGAATTCACTGCCTGATGACCGAGATGCTGTTTTATGGTAACTTTGGTTCTGAACCGTCTTTTTAAATCCATTCATGGTGGAGAGGCACACAGGGCATCCCTTAAGACCGCATGGTCTGAATTCTGCATCTGATGTTTATCTGCTCACCTGCAAACAGGTGGGCCCTTTAAGCTCCGCCCCCTCGTTTCCACTCTGCTCCTCCGGCCTGGCCGTTTCTCCATTCATCTCCGTGGTAACGGGGCAGGTGTGTGTCCAGGTGTGCATGTGAGGGGGTGTGAGAGCACGACACACGCTCAGCGTCCGGTTCCCAATCAGAACCGGAGAACCCACTGCAGCCGCTACGCCCTCAGCACCGACAAACTCTAAACAAAACAACACAAAGGGGATCTGGTTATGTTTACCTGCTCCTTTACAGCGTGTAGAGCTGAGTTATCATCATCAACAAAATCTACATAAATAAACACAATTGAAAAAATGTGACCAAACACACTAAAAATGAACAGCATTATGATTAGTATGATAGATATACAGCAGGGGGCGATGTGTGTGAATAATACTAAAATCTAAAACTGAAACTGAAACTAAAGAAAAACTGCACTACTAATAATAACTAGATTAACAGGGCACTTTTCATACCAGTTTACCAGTAAGAGAACTTTTCTACTGTTACAGTTACTGTCCAGTAAAAACCCTGATAGACCGCTGTCGGTCCGCTGATGGCAGAGCTGGTGGTCCACCGGCGTTCTGCTCAGCATTTTCCAGGCGGCTCACTGATGGATAAGTTAGAAGCTGTTATTCTGTAATAGATACTGTCTGAAATTCAGTCCTAATTGACCCTGCCGTTCCAATACTTTCGGAGGAGACTGTAAAGAGAGCTCAGGGTGGGAAATAAATAGAAGAAGAATGTAGGACATGGGCTCTTGGGCTCTTTAATGGAGTACCTGAAGTTTCATTTCTGCTTTGATCTGCTTCAGCAAAAAACCCCACAATGGAGACGAACGACATTTAACCATTTACACTAAGTCACTGTTCTACGATCGTTTCTGACACTGCGCTGCTCATTTAAACAATCAAACTCACTTACTGATGCGGGCGTGCCTCCGTCGTTTCCCAGAGTCCTCTGCAGGTGTGATGATGTCATGAATGGGGCCGAAAGGGCTGAAGGTCTGGAGCAGGTTGTCATGGCGATGATGCCGTGAAGAGAGGCCACCCACGTAAATCACGCGATCATTCAAAACATCGTTCTGCAGGTCCGCTAGAGACGCCTCCAGGTCCAGAGTCAACTCGCTGACCGGCCGCTGGACCTACAGTGACCGTTACACGAACAATAACAACGTTAACAACGTCACAACCTTTAAATGGTGTCACAGTGACCGTTACACAAACAATAACAACGTTAACAACGTCACAACCTTTAAATGGTGTCACAGTGACAGTTACACAAACAATAACAACGATAACAACGTCACAACCTTTAAATGGTGTCACAGTGACCGTTACACAAACAATAACAACGATAACAACGTCACAACCTTTAAATGGTGTCACAGTGACCGTTACACGAACAATAACAACGATAACAACGTCACAACCTTTAAATGGTGTCACAGTGACCGTTACACGAACAATAACAACGATAACGTCACAACCTTTGAATGGAGTCACAGTGACTGTTACACATAATGATACAGTGACCATGACAACATTTAAACAATATGAACAAAGTAACAATGTTCAAACCAAGTTACAGTAACCACTGCACAACAGTCAATCAACATTAGCAATGCTGTAACATTCAAAGGGTGTTACAGTGACCATTTCATGGCATCTAAACAATGTTACTGTGACGATTTGTGTCAGGAGCTCCCCGGGCTCCATTAACAGCCGCAAGAACCGGTAGAAAGGCAGGGCCCGAACCCTGACCACAGACGACAGCCCGCGATGACCGCAAGAGGAGAATGACAACCACAAGGGCTGGGGGGGGGTGGCGCCCGAGTCCCGAGCCCTGTATCCTGGGCATCGCCTCCGGTCCCACAGCAAGGACACTCTGATAGACCTGACGGATCCGGGGGGGCCGAGCTTTGGAGCAGGAGCGCAACAGTGAACTCTCTTTCCCTCTCTCAGGGGCTCACACTGCCCTTAATGAAAGCCAGCGCCGCTGAATTTGGCTTTGGCAGCCTTTAAAAAGAGCAGAGCGAGAGAGCAAGAGGAGAGAGAGAGAGAGAGAGAGGGAGAGAGAGAGAGAGAGAGTGAGAGAAAGAGAGAGAGAGAGAGAGAGGGAGAGAGAGAGAGAGAGGGACGACCCACAGCAAAAAAAGGACTGGCGAGCTGAAAAGGACTGAAAAGCCTAGTTTAGAAGCCACTGAGGCAGAAGTGTCCTTCCTCCTCCTGAGGTAACACAGGCCGCGCTACACCACGATACCACATTTAAACAAAACTGACAATGTAATATTCAGGCTATTACATAACTTGTAAACAACATCGGCAACGTCTCAATATTCAAATATTATAGTGACCATTATATCCAACACTGTACATTACATACACATTATATACAGCCTTTAAACATCACTGAGACAGAGAAACATTACATAAACACAAACACTCATATGACTGTGTGTCTGTTACTCACCTTTACTGGTCTGTTGTTTATTTGGTGACCATTCAGAGACTGAAGGGCGAGCTGAGCTCCTTCCAGCTGCTGAAACTCGACTACAGCGTACAGCTACAGAGAGAAACACAGTCCACAGAAAAGATCAGGTCTTTTCTAAAGGTCACTGGCATCAGCTGAACTATATCAAGTCCACCTCTTTGTTTCTACACTCACTGTCCACTTTATCAGCTCCACTGACCGTATAGTTTCACTCTGTAGTTCTACAGTTACAGACTGTAGTCCATCTGTTTCTCTGATACTTTGTTACCCTGTTCTTCAGTGGTCAGGACCCCCATGGACCCTCACAGAGCAGGTACTATTTGGGTGGTGGGTCATTCTCAGCACTGCAGTAACACTGACGTGGTGGTGGTGTGTTAGTGTGTGTTGCGCTGGTCTGAGTGGATCAGACACAGCAGTGCTGCTGGAGTTTTTAAACACCTCAGTGTCGCTGCTGGACTGAGAATAGTCCAACAACCAAAAATATCCAGCCAACAGCGTCCTGTGGGCAGCGTCCTGTGACCACTGATGAAGGACTAGAGGATGACCAACACAAACTGTGCAGCAGCAGATGAGCTATCATCTCTGACTTTACATCTACAAGGTGGACTGACAAGGTAGGAGTGTCTAATAGAGTGGACAGTGAGTGGACACAGTGTTGAAAAACTCCAGCAGCACTGCTGTGTCTGATCCACTCAGACCAGCGCAACACACACTAACACACCACCACCACATCAGTGTTACTGCAGTGCTGAGAATTATCCACCACCCAAATAGTACCTGCTCTGTGAGGGTCCATGGGGGTCCTGACCACTGAAGAACAGGGTAAAAGGGGGCTAACAAAGTATCAGAGAAACAGATGGACTACAGTCTGTAACTGTAGAACTACAAAGTGCACCTATATAGTAAGTGGAGCTGATAAGGAGGTGGACGTGATGACGTGGCCAGCCATTGTATTTCTGACCGGTGTTTGTGTTCTCACCACGTGCGTTTTCTGCAGTAATCTGACTGACCGCAGGTCTCCGTATTGCCTGAGCAGTGAGCGTATTCTCCTTTCTGTGAAGTCAGAGGGGAACGGACCCACAAACAACACGCACATCTGTCTTAACCTGTCCGCCATCTAAAAAGAGCAAACAAAATATGTAAAAGGGTAATTTTTAAAGTTTTCTGCATAATTAAGTGGTTAAGATGTAACCAGTAACTCGGTAAGATTATCTAGAACAGAGCGTTTCACACCAAACCACTCTGAACCTCTCTGTTCTAGATAATCTTACCGAGTCAGAACTGTTCACAGTGGTGGTGATAGGAACCAGACGTCCACCTCTAAAAGCTCCTCACAGAAAGTTCCTACATGAAATGGTTATGAATTCACTGCCTGATGACTGAGACACTGTTTTATGATAGTTTAGAGAACTTAAACTCCATTCATGGTGGAGGGATACATGCAGGGCGCTGTGAGGCAAAATAGTCCCCAAAGAAAACTTATTATTTCAGGTTTTCCACTATTTTCATCATCAACATTCCATATAAACTCAGAAGACTCGTGTAGGTTCACTGGTGGTTCTGGACAGTAAATAAAATGTCTATATTTGTGTTGTAGTCATGGCGACCCCTGGTTCCTATCACCACCACTGTAAAGACATCTGAACCATTTCACACCAAACCGCTCTGAATCAGAGTGATTCTCTGCTAGCTAACGTCAGCTATGATGTTAGATAGCAGATAAACTAACATCATAGCTGACACATAGATATTCATACATAGATGCTGCGTTGGGTTCAGCCAGGCGCCAAAATTACACTATTTCAGGAATATCACACTCAGAAAGTGGGACAGGATTATATAACGGAGGGAACGCAGTGATCCACACTCATGTCTGTGTGATGCGTATTGTTTGTGTGGTG